TTAGAAATCTAACCATATACAGCATTGTAGCAGGAAATTTTGATTTTTTTTCTTGAACTTGTAATCCTGCCTCAGCCAGCAAACTAGATAGAATTACAGGTTGTGCTGTTTAACACATACAACACATGTTGTATAGCTCATAAAAGTATTTACAGCTCTTAGAAGTTATTTTCAGCTCTTCCAAGATGTTTATAGTTCTCAGTGAGTGTTGCAGTAGCCTGAGACCAACGAACCGAGTGGCTTTGGGGACAGGTGTGCAGCTTTATTCACACCAGCAATGTTGGCTGGGATCCTTCACTAAAGAACCAAACACAGGACTGGGGAGATGGCTCAGTGGAATAAGCACTTCACTGGCAAGTGCAAGGGCCTGAGTTCAATCCCTGGTTCTGAAAAAAAAAAAAAAAAATTAAAAGACCCAAACACAGACTCTCAAACAGCAGCATTTTTATAGGACTTCCAAGCAAGTAGGAGGTATAAGAACAGTTTGACGTTAGTTGGAGGACAGAATGAATTCCACCTTCCTTGTATATAACTTCTACATCATTGCATATAGTAGAGTCAGGGACTAGAGCTTTATCAATGTTTTGGTGGTGGTGGGACACAAACTTAATGGAGAACAGAGGGCTTATTGAAAGCTAGGAAGAGGGATGCTGAGGGTGGAGGGAGAGGCTCTAGTCTGAGTAAACTTTTCCGCTTTAGTGTCACTGTATCTGTTTTTACATGTTGTTTCAATTTGATTTGCTAATATTTTGCTGATTTTTGCTTTTTTTTTGGTAATATCTGTAAGGTTTTTGTCATTAGGGTAGTGCTACATTGTAGAATGTTAGGATATATCCTCTTCATTCCATTTTATGAGATTATTGAGTATTGGCATAATTTCTCCCTTAAACTCTGGTAGAATCCAACAGTGGGAACCCATCAAGCTTTGTGCTTTTCGTTTTAGGATGAAATGGTATACCAAGTTTATTTAACAGATTTAGACATACATATGTGTGTGTATAAATGCTACACGCTTTCTTTGGCATTTACGTGTTTTGCCAATTGGTTGATTTCATCTGCATTATTAAATCTCTGAACATAGTTGTTCATAATGTTCTTTTCTTTCCTTTTTTTTGTGGTACTGGAGATTGAATTCGGGATCTTGAGCTTGCCAGGCAGACGCTTATGCCCTTCAGCTGTCTCCCCAGCCCAATATTCTTTTTTTACAAAAAATATGGAACACTTCACAAATTGTGTGTCATCGTTGTGCAGGGGCAGTGCTAATCTTCTCTGTATCGTTCCTGTTTTAGTATATGTGCTGACAAAGTGAGAGCCCAATATTCTTTTATTACCTTTTTTTTTTCTTTCTTCCTTCCTGAGACAAGAGTCTTGCTAAATAGCCCAGGCTAGCTTTGCTTTTTTTTTAATTTTTATTTTTTTGGTGGAACCTGGGATTGAACTCAGGCCTTTGCACTCGCCAGGGAAGCACTTATTCCACTGAGTCATTTCCCCGGCCCTACATGCTGGCTTTGAACTTGTGGTGATCCTTTTGCCTTGGCCTCTTGAGTGCTGGGATTATACACATGTATCATTGTGCCTGACTATTGTCATTTTAATGTCCACGGCATATACATTGATGGTCTCTTTCATTTCTATATTACTTAGTGTGGCTGGAGGTTTATTGATTTTACTGATATTTTTGTTTGATTTACTGATATTTAAATAAAACTAGTTTCTTGTTTTCATTGATTTTGTGTTTTGATCTGTTTTGCAATTTCACTGACTTTTTTTTTTTTGGCTCTGATTTCTAGTATTTTCTTCTGCTGTCATTGTATTTACTACTTTTTAGTTTCCTAAGGTTGAAACTTAGATAATTGATTTCAGGTTTTTATTCTTTTCAGATACGTGCATTTAATACTATAAAATTTCCTCTGCTTTTGTTATGTCCTACACTTTTTTTTTCTTTTTGTGGTATTGGGGGTTGAACCTTATGCTTGGCAGGCAGGTGCTTATGCCACTGAGATATATCCCCAGTCCTGTTTTTTTTTTTTTTTTTTTTTTTTTGAGAGGGTCTCTCTCTCTCTAGTTTAGCCTGGTCTAGAACTCACTTGTGTAGCCCTGGATGGCCTCAAACTCACAGTAATATCCTGCCTCAGTCTCCAGAGTCCTGGGATTACAGGCATGGTCCATCCTTTCTGGCTGTATTCTGCACCTTTTTGTGTGTGTGTGTGTATCCTAGGATTGAGTTCAGGGAACACTGAGTCACATCCTCAGCTCTTTTAAAAAATTTTCTTTTGAGTCACCCTTTCACTAAATTGACCAGAATAGCCTGTTTTCTGATCCTCTTAGTAGCTGGGATTATAGGCTCTTTGAACAGTTGGGATTATAACCATGAGGTGTGTTGCACACATTTTCATTTAATTTAGTATACTTAGTTCAAAGTCTTTAAATTTCTTGAACTTTTTCCTTGATGCATCTGTTTCTTAGAAGTGTGTTGATTAATTTGTAGGTATTTTGCAAATTTTCCAGCTATCTTTCTGTTACCAGTTTGTAGTTGAATTCCATTGTGGTCTGTGAGTGACAATGTAGAATTTCTTGTGTATTGTCCTGCCTGGCCTAGTTGTGGTTTTAATTGAGCGTTTTATGTGACTTCTCATTTTCTTTCATTTTTTGACATATCCATTTTTTGACATATTCTGCTTTTAAAACTTTAAAAAAAATTTTAATTAGTACCTCTTTGCAGTATGTACTTTTCATAGTGATTGCCCTAGAGTTTGCATTTACAACTAATCCAAGTCCTCTTTCAAAATAATGACTGCCTCAATAATTAAAGCACTTTTATTTATTTTATTTTTTGGTCTCAATTTCACTGATATCTTTTTTTTTGGTGGAACTGGGGATTGAACTCAGGCCCTTGCGCTTGCCAGGCAAGTGCTTATTCTGCTGAGCTATCTCCCCAGCCCCTAAAGCACTTCTTTTAAATCTTTAAATATTTATTGCCTACTCCTGTCTACTTTGAGAATTCTAATTATATAAATATAAGTTTCTTGGTTTTGACAGTGAACTATTATGACTAATCTGTAAATTCTTCATTTTTATTTTGGACAGTTTTTATTATATTTGTTTATGTTTGTTAATAATTTATTTTCAATTTGCAATCTATTAAAAAATTAAAATAAAATTAAAGCACTTCATAATAACAAAAGTCTTAAATATTTTCTTCCATCTTTTGTATCAATGCTATCATTTTATTAAACGTAAGTACATATATGTATAAGAATGTATAATCCATTTTTGTTGTTTTAAACATGTTAGGTCAATTAATATAAACAAAATTTTAAATGTTCATTTATTCCTTCTCTGATGCTTGGTTTTTCTACGTTAATCTAAATTTCTTATATAATTTTTTTTCTTTGAAGAACGTTAACATTTTTTGGAAGACATTCTTAAAGGCAATACATTTTCTCAGTTTTCATTAGAGAAAATATGCTTCACATTTGAAGGATAATTTTGTAAGGTATGGGATTCTGGATTTTGGTTTTTTGTTTTACTCTCAAATTACTTCACTTTTCTTGCATGGTTTCTGAGGAAAAGTCAGGTATAATTTTTATCTTTATTTCTGTATAAGTAGTGTACAATATTATTCCCTCTAGCTTTTTCTTTGATTTTCTGTAGCTTGAAGGTATTTATTTATGCTAGTGTTCCCCCCCCCCCCCCCCGGGAACCAGCTGCGCAGGATGGCGGCGCCTGTGCGCCAAGCTGAACCTCCCCTCCTCCTGGAGGCGTGGGTGCCCCCCCCCCCGCCCTCCTTTTTGACCTTTATCCTGAAGAAGGGCTGAAATTTGGGAAATCCTGTAATTATTGTTTGAAATACTGCTTCTGTTTCCTTTTTTTCCCCCCTTTTGGTATTCCCATTTATATGTTACACTTTTACAGCTGTCTTGAAGTTCATGGTGGTTCTGTTCTTTTTGATCTTTGCTTTTCATTCTGAAAGAGTTTGTCTCCAAGCTCAGAAATAAGTTCCATAGCATTATCTAGTACACTGAACTTACATTACCTCCTCCCCAGTTTGCAGAGTGACATATTGAACCTGGGGCCATGTGCATGGTAGGCAAGCACCCTATGGTGTATTATATACCCCCAGCTCCTGCCATTCTGTTCTTACATGATACCTACTTTATTCAGTAGAGCAGTAGTGGTGAATAATAAATAGCCTCCCTGCACCACATGTGCTGTAAGCTCACCACTACTGCACTAGAACATTAACTATGTTAAAGGCTGGCTTTGAACACAAAGCAGTCTTCCTTGCCTTAGCCTCCCTAGTGCTGGGCTTACAATGCCTGATTTCAAAATTGGTTTCCTTTTTTTTTTTTGTGGGTGTGGTCCTGGGGATTAAATTCAGGACCTTGTTCATTCTAGGAAAACAGTCTACCACTGAGCTGTGTCCCCGGCTGTAACCTTTCTTTATAGGTGGACATGATGTGTACACAGTAATAGAGCTGCTATCAATCTTTGATACTGTTGGTGGTAAGGTATAGATGAGGATGAAGTGTTCTGTTGACCTATGCTTAGATCTCAGTTGAAGTTTTTGGTTTTTTGAGAGTCAAGGTCTTGCTATGCAACTCAGGCTGGCCTTAAATTTGCTTTGTATAGCCCAGACTGGCCTCAAACTTGCTGTAATCCTCCTGCCTCAACCTCTTCAGTGCTGAAATTACTGTGTGCTATATGTCATTTTTTTTAAAACTTGCTGTGAATCTTGAGCTTCATGAATACTTTGTAATCTACTCCCTTTCAGTGAACTAGGATGGATAAAGTGGGCTGAAATTTGATATTTTTATGTTTAGTAAAGGAAGGCTAGACAGAAGGAATTGGATATTTTCCATCTTTCATATGGAAGGTAAAGCTGGCTAGAATTGGTTGTTTCTCTTCCTCCAAGTAGTGCTCTGATTAAAACCTAGCTGATTTTGCCAGTTTTTCCTAAGGAAGACCCAGTTTTTCCTAAGGAAAGAAACCATTCTGAAATATGCTAATACGTCGTGTTCTTAACAAAGAAAACGACTTATTAGCATATTTCAGAATGGTTTCTTTCCACCTCCTTTTGGAGCATGAGAGGATGTTCCTCTGATGGTCATGGTGGAAATATGATAGCGGTTTAGGAGGTAAAACTCCCCATACTGGGTTCCCTAGTAGTTTTTATGTCTCAGATTTTTCACATTATTTGTAACTATTTGTACATTATAATTAAAGTTTTCTTATACTGGCTGTGATTCCCAGTGTTTTCAGCTCTTGGGTCTCTAATTTGATAAGCTTTGATTTGCTCTAGTTTTGATGGCAGTTATTTTTTCTATGATCTTCTGTTTTGGATCTAAGAATTTTTCGATTTTGTTCAGCTTTTTACTTGTTAGAAAGAAGTAGGAACTTTTGAGTTGCTTTATATACCAGATTGGACCAAGAATGCTTTTGACAGTATTTCAAAAGACTTAAAAGTGAATTGTTTTCAAGTGCCTTTCATTAACACATAATTTAAAATACTTTAATGTTTTTCTCAGATATTTTGAGTATTGCCTTGTTGGAACAATAACTTTTTAAAAAAATTTAATCTTGAATAGATGAACAAGAACGGGAAGAAACCAGACAAGTTCACATGGATTTAAATAATAACATTGAGGTAAGCATTAGTGAATATCTGAATTTTTTAATCCCTCTTTGTTTTTTTTTTTTAAATTTTTTTTATTTATTTGTGTGTGTGTGTGTGTGTGTGTGTGTGTGTGTGTGGCCAGCTTAGCCCACCAGGGGGCAGGGCTGGCTGGCATGTGGTGCTGGGGGATTGAACTGTGGTCCCTGTGCTTTTTGCAAAGCTTGTTCTAAGTAGGTGCTTTAGACCACTGAGCCATCTCACCAGCCCCCTATCTGAATTTTTTAAACGAAAGAATTTCTTCATAAAGTAGGCTGATACCTACAAAAATGTAGACAACTGACTGTTCTTGGTAAAAAGATCATTACTTCATGTTGATATTATGAATAAAAATTTATAGTTCTATATTATGAGTACTAATACTTTGCTAAGTAATAACATTTTGCTTTACATGTCTCACAAATTTGTATTTGTCAAATATTTGCTATGTTAAATGCCAGCTTATTTTGAAATAAGAATAGTTTTTATTATAGCATTTTATATTAGTTTGAAAACAAAGTATTAATGTTTTTGGTTCCTGTCTTACCTTTGTTATCTATAATTCACCATTTTGCTTTTTTGCTATAGTAACTTTTCCTTTTTTTCACTGTTGCTGAGTACTTTTTGATCTTGATTCTTTGAATTTCTTCCCTTTGTCTAGAAATTGTGTGTCCAAAATCTTATGCACACTTACAAACCTTATTCTTTTTTAAATTTCCCTGCTTTACTATTAATTGCAATGTCTGTAGTCAGTTATTCTCTGTCTCCATCTCATGTAACCTTTCTGGAGAGCATTGAAAACCACATGACATTTACTTAATACATATATGTACTTTTTTCCCCCCATAATTTTATTGATAAACAAATAGCAATGAGACAATTTCACATCAAATTGGTAGGACAGTTTCAATAATTAACACATTGCATACATTCTTCCTAGTGGCTAATTGCTGTACAAGATGCAGACATGATATCCTATTTACAAACACCATTAGAACAAATCCCTCTATTCATTAAGAGAATGTAACTA